CACCTGCCTGGATGGCACAGCACGACACCAGCCTTCTCCTTCTTCTCAAACTCCTCTCCCTGCTTCACCTCACGGGGGTAGCCATCGATGAGGAAGCCCTTGGACACGTCTGCTTTGGCCACCATGGCGTCCCTCAGCATGTCCAGCACCGTGTCCTGGGAAGGAGGGGACAGAGCTGCCAGGCAGGCCAGACATGGGACAAAACGCTCCCCACCCGGCCACCCCAATCCCTGCTGCAACTTCCCCCAGGCCACCTGCTGATCATCACCGTGGTATCTGGTGATGTCCCCTGTGCCACCCCTACCTGCACGCCCCACTGTGCCACACGGGGACTCACCAGGGGCACCAGCTCGCCCTTCTCCATGATGGCCTGCAGCTTCTTGCCCCGCTCCGAGCCCGAGCTGACCTCGGCCCGCAGCAGGTCCCCCGTGGAGAGGTGGGTGTAGCCATATTTCTGCACAATCTTCTCACACTGGGTCCCCTTCCCTGAGCCGGGGCCACCTGCAAGCCACATGAGGGCCCCACGTGCCCCAAACCACAGGTAAGGAGCTGCAGGGGGACCTGGAAGCAACACCACAGACCCACCAGGATCCCCAGGGTCCAGTGCGATGGGAATTACTGCTTCTGGGGTGGGCTGGGGGATGCCAGGTCCTTGGGGGTGGCATGGGCTGCAGGCACTTGGCCAGGACAACAGCACCACCCCATCAGCAGCCAGGACATCACACCCCCTCCAGCGTTTATTGTCACGTCACCCCAGATGCTGCCACCCCATGCCCACCCAGAGGTGCTTTCACAGTCCCAGCACAACTCACCGTAGTCTTGAGAAGCAAGGCTGCAGCCACAGCCACCCCACAGCACCTGGGGTGGGTTGAGGTCCCACAGCCCCCAACCCCAGATCTGCAGCCCTGGGCACTGGCAGCCCCCAACCCTGGAGGTGTGGGGGGACAGGGATGTGCTGTGGCCTTGACCCCACCAGCAGAGGGACCCGGACACCAACTTACCCACCACAAAGATGATTTTGTGCTGTTTGAGTTTTTCTGGGAGACAGAAAGAAAAGAAATAATTAGCTAAAGCTGGGAAGAATGTTAAGGACTGAAGTCTCTCCAGGGGGGGCAAGGGCCAGGGGCAGGTGTCCCCAGGGACGGAGGGGACCCACCCCCAGGGGATAATGGCAAAGCGGGAAGCAGCTACATGTCCCCATCATCTTTGTCACCTGGGCAGGTTGGGTTGGCCGGGCTGGACATGTCTGGGCACAAAGACCCATTGGGGCTGTGGAGATGGAATCCCACTGCCACCTGGTGTCCTGGAGACAGTCATTGTGCACAGTTCCCTCGGCTGTGGGGGCTGCAG